ATAACCTTTTGTTAGTTTTTGTTAGAGAAGATTCTCTATCCTTCAGAACATTGTCGCACTGGGCACGCGACAGTATGCATTTCAAGTTGAAAAATAATGATCACAATATTCACATTTATAAGACATTATTTTAAAAGTTTTTTTCAAAGAGTATTGGAATTATTTAATTAATTTTAAAAATTAGTAATAACATTTTAACAAATTTTTATGTGTTTAAATATCTTTTTCAGAAATATTTTATTGATATTTTATCTTTTTTCAATAATTAAAAAATTTTTTCTTTATTTTACAATTTCTATACTGCTAAAACATTCATTATTTGTGATATAAAAAAATATCTTATTTATATAATATCTGTAAAAAAAAAGAATATATTCTTTTTTGTAATTAAAGAAGAAATTAAGAAAATTTTAAAAATTTTCTTTTTATTCTACATTTTCCATATTATTAAAACATTTGTGATATAAAAAAAAATATTTTTACTATATTATATTTGAAAAAAAAAAAATACAAATATATATGTTACTTTTTGTAATTAAAAAAGAAATTAAATATTTTTTTCATAAATGTAATACAAATTGATGTAATACAAAAATGATCTATCGTAATTCACTAGCCAAAAGCCTCAGGTATCTTACACACCACCCTCCAAAAACTTGAGTTGTATTCAGAAGGATATTTTGTATAGGGATGGGTATTTTGCTCAGCATGGGTTTTTGTTCAGAGGGTACAAAATAAGGGGGGGTACAAATTATAGTTTCATTATATGATATTTGTATGTGTTATATATGTCAAGGTGCATTAAAATTTTTTTTAAATAAAATGTCCTGAAACCAGAACCTTTTAAAACGAGCAAAAATTACAAATAAAAAAAAGAGAAGTTGGAATGCGAGAGAAAAGTTAGCAATAGTAACATTCTTTGAAAGAAATCTTCAAACTTCTAAATGTAGTGTAGCAGCAAAATTTAATATAAAACCTAAACAATTAAGAGACTGGCTCAACAAAAAAGAGTAACTTTTATTAGCAAAACTACATATTAAAAAACTTTCTACTAGTACAAAACCTCGATATCCAATACTTGAAATAGAACTTTTCAAATGGATTAAATCTTTATGCTCTAATTAAAAAGTAGTTTTCCATTATATAATACAAGAAAAAGCTAAAATTTTGTCTAGAAAATTGTAATATATTACAATATATCTTAATATATTAGAATGCAAATGGGGTAATAAATGGTTAGAGGGATTTATGTGCTGTTATAAACTTAGTAATCGCCACCATACAACAATAGCACAAAGGTTACCAGAAGATTTAATAGAAAAACAACATGAATTTTTAAATTTTATTCTTTATCGCCGTATTCAATATGATTATTCTTTAAATTTAATTGAAAATATAGATGAAACACTCCTGACTTTTGATATGCCTAGTAATATAACAGTAGAAGAAACAGGTTCTAGAACAGTTAGCATACATACTACAGGACACAAAAAATTAAATTTTACTGTGGTACTTTCTTGTATGGCAGATGGTACAAAATTGCTACCATTGATAATTTTTAAACTTGTAAATGTTTTGTGACAAATTTTTCCATCAGGTGTTATAATTCATACAAATCGAGAGAGATATATAAATTCAGATGAAATAATTTGGTAAATTGAAAACATCTGGAATCAACGTTGTTACCCTTGGTTTTCTTCCGATTAAATAGTTATATTATTTTTCTTACTTTATTATTATATCTTATATTGTTAATATTATTTATTATT